TTTATCACCACGGAGGCACAATCACAGTGCAGGAGGATAATGACTTCGATTAGAGCTAGATGCTAAACTACGAGACATCATACAAGAAAAAGTGTCCCGACGGATAAATTACGATTCATATCCGTGGCATGCAGATAAAACCGTACTCAAAGATCGTCGAGGGCGTCAGCCTCTTTCTTGTCTCATACAGGATGAACTCTGAGAGTCCATGCTGCATCCAGCTCAAGATCAACTGAGTGAAGCAGAGGATCGAGCGAGGCAAGAGACGTCAATATGCAGATCCATACGATACTGCGTTTTCCCTATTTCTATTGGTAAAGTTGAAAACGGAAGGCACCAGTTTTACTGTAGAAGCTGTACATGATGATATCGATTATCGGGTATCTAAGAACCCCGGTGCAGTAAAAAGAAGTCGCTAGACGCCGTGTCCGCTAAAATCAGTACGCCACTCTCGTCCGCATATCCTATACAAGGGTTAGTTGATGGCTCATACAGCTTGGTACTGGGCAAAACATACCGAAATCTTCCGTTCAATTTCTCGCACTGAACGGTCAAGCTCCCCAGCAATCATCATCTTCGTGTCATTAGGTAATAAGAAATACGTCTCACATAAGTCACCGTCAATGACGCCCTTGACAGGTGCATAGTAACTCCGGTAAATGAGGTGGTCCCGTCCAGCAAGAGGAGGGTTTTGTGCTGCCAATTGCATCTCCAGGTTTTGGAAGAAGTCGACATCCTCTCGACTGACAAAAGGCACAAGCATTCCAATAGTACCATGGAATCCGGACCAGACAAGAATGTCCCGCCCACCGGCTACAAGTTGTGTCTTGTGCAAGGTGGTCGGGATGTCCTGGGTGTAAACATGGATCATCAGCTCCAGACGATTGGGCGTACCATGGAGATAACCACGTTCATGGATCAAGTGCGCGCCCGATCCATCCTCATCAGCTTGTTCGGATATTTTCTTGGGACACCGCAGCATCCAGATATTACCAAATTTGTCACCACCAGCAGTGGTTTCATAGTCAACCATCGTCGTAGAGGTCGTCCAGCGTGAGACAGAATCGTCCACAAACGGGATCAAAACGTTTTCCTGATACTTGTATACAACATACGTAACACTCTCACGAACGTCACTCACGACAATTCTGCTGCCTTGCGTCTGGAGGCCCACGATCGTCTTGGGAACCACTTGGGCATTACATTTCCTGAGGAGTTGTTTCATTCCCAAGTCATAGATCCGAAGCATCGAGCCAATACCAGCAACCAGTCGGCCTTGGAAGCCAAGAAGAGCAAGTGGAGGTTCTTCGACCTTCGTCTTATGGATGAACTCAAGCTCTCTTCCATCTTCTTGGAACCTGTAAATATGGATGTATCCTCCGGCAGACGATGGAGGGTTGACAGTCATGTCTTTCGCTGTTCCTACAACAAGGAACGTCTCATCATCCTGACTAGTGAAGGGAACAGCTGCAACACTGACAGCAGCCTCATTTTCTTCAAGCTCAATTGTCGAGACAACAGCTTTGGCGTGTACTGGGTCCACAACCTGAATACACGAGGCCCAGTGACCAGAGCCCCGTGGATATCCAAATTCTTCGGGAGGTAGCACGGTTTCATCGCCTGTACGTGCCTTGGAATCTTCTATTAGTTTCGCCCTAGTTGATGGCGACAAAACATTGTTGTCTGATTCAATGACATAAAAAAGTGGTTGCTCAGGGTGTTTCAAGAAACGGCGGGGAGTGTAAGCGAGAGAAACCGACTGTTGCAGCATGTTGTTGTCAAGCTTTTCGATGGAGAAAATCCTATCCACATCAGTTAGCAAATGTAGCTAATCGCAGGCAGGAGCTGACGTGTAATTTTCAGAATAACTTTGATCTCAGTAGGAACAATTGGAAATAAAATAATAATAAGCTTCCACATGGGTTTTCGGGTCCCATATTCTCATCATTCGATCAGGGTAAATGGAGGAAAAGAAACAGGGAATGCATCATACCTAAGGTTTTGGCCTTGAATACCGACCATGCCTTCCAGACACTGCTCACTCGAGAAGTTCCAACCCCATTCAAGTGGGACGTAATCCAAAGGAGTAAGCATGAAGCCCTTTGTCTGAATGTCTGAATAGCCCAGCCAAGGACGTGAGCTCAAAGCCAGAACAGCAGTTTGCCCTTTAACGGAAACCTGGAATAGCTTGACGGGCTTCGAGCCCAGAAAACGCGTACGCGTATCAGACAGTTCGCCGGTCACCTCATCCAATACTGTTCGAAGGTAGACACCAGAATACAGACCGATGTGAAGATACAGTGTCGTCCCACCAGAACTGGAATCAGACATAGACATGATGTTCAATGCAGACGGGGCTGCAGTGAGGGCCTGGACAGACTTGTTTTCCAGGGTGGAATCCGGATCCAAGCTCAAAATGCGGACTGTGGAGTCATCACATCCCACAGCTAAGAACGAGCTCCGAACACGACCTTCAGGAACCTCTCCGAGACTGAGACATGTCACTGTGCCAGACATCTGGCGCCGTTCGTCGTATTCAGCAAGGGTCCCATCAGAATCCATCTCAAAGTACACGATCTCTCCTGAGCTCAGTGCCACCGCAACTTGACGCTCATTCGTTGCGGCTGCAACGATGGACCGATGTTGAGGTGCAGGCCACTCATTCACTCGACGGTCGACCATAATATGACGAATACCCCGGGGGTGAATTTGAATCAAAGAATCCTCCCCAAGCTGTTGGACGGCGAGAGTAGGGGCAGATGACAGAAAGCCAGTATCAGTCACCTCCTCCACGGTTTCACCGATACTCAGAACAAGAGTGCCATTCGCAAAGGAAAGGACGATGTAGGCATCAAACTCATCAGCGCGAGTCAATTTGGTAGTCCAAACAGCCGAAGGCACACTGGGGAGTTCCGAGTCGACGATTTCAGAAACCTCTAAGCCGTGCTTGAGCGTCCTAAACGTGCTACGAGCACCAGTTCCAGAGATAGTGTAGATCTGGGGAGCGTCTTCTTCGGAGAGGTTGGCAATCTTACTATCAATCAACGGATTTAAGGAATTGATAGTCTCAACGAGATTGAGGTTTTCTGCGCTTCGAGGCCGGAAATATACGGGCTCAAGTGGGACAGAAGGATCTGCAGAGGAGTTTTCACTGCTGAATTCAATCTCCTCGTCATCATCACCGAGCTTCTCGAATTGGTAGAAGTGGTGATTTCCTGCCTCACTGGCAACATACAGGAAACCACTCTTGAGGATCAGCAAGTTCGACGCGACAGGAACCGTGTCGAAGTATTTAATCTTCAGTCTTCTCACTTCGCCAGTCAATTGACCATTGTCGTCTTCAACCATGTCAATAGTGAGCTTGAAGAGGTCCCCATCTTCAGTCTGCAGGAGAAAGAAGAAGGCGCCCCTCATCTTGTGCATCACGCCGGCCGTGACGAACCGTTTACGTTCGGGATTCTCTGTTGGGCCACTACGCCTAGGGATGGGAACCCTGAAGGCATCTTGGTTTGAGTGTCGGTAGGTGACGCTGTCCTCGGCACATACCAGGACTCCGCTCGGGCCATCGGCGCCTCCGGGGACCTGGAAAAGCATCGAGGATGTGCGATCGACAGGGTCCGCCCATTTACGCACGACGTGGTTCAGTCCAAGGTCCAATTCGTAGTATACCAGAAGCTTCTCGGCTTCTTCGAACGCTTGACCCGTAGGATCCTGGTCAGACTCCGAGTAGTCCACCTCAAGCGCCGCGAAGATCGGGTTTTCATACCCTACATCCAATGCTGACATCGCAAAGACCAGTGTCTGTGGCTTATGTGCTTCGAGCGGTGATGAGATCGTCAACTCGGCCTGCGAGTTCCGATTCAGAACGTAAACAAGCTTGTTCTTCTCCACAGATGCAATGAGACAAGCTCTGCCTTTCGGATCAACCGCCAGATATTGGCCGGGGATCACACGACGGACACCGGATTTGCCAAACGTCTCCAGGTGAATGCGGTTGAACCGATTCTGGGAGGGCACATACTCAATGATAGTGATGCGTCCCGAATCAGAACCAATGATGATGTAATCTAGATGCACCTTTCAGCAAAAGTCAAGGACTAGCACCCAGCGTCAACGTCGCTGACCGGGGCACGTCCCACCTCCAAGGTGGTCGGCTCGGCAGTTAAGGATCGTGCTGCCCGGAAGCTTGAAGAATCACTAAGATGATCTCGGAATCACACCAAGGGGAATGTCGAACATACCTTTATTACTCCCAGCTAGTCGGAAAGCAGCCAGAGAGCGAATGATGCCAAAGACATCTTGGGAAAAGAGTGGGGTGACTTTGCCCTGGGTAGGATCGGGTCGATGGATAGTGAGCTTTGACCCCGACGCGGTGACAATCTGCTGTTCCTTGGTACCCGCAAACTGACCCAGGATGGCCTGTGTAACGGCAGTAGGCGGCTGGATTGTCAGGGAGTACATGAACATATGCGAGGTGGTAGCCATGGTGGGCAGCTAGGCTCCTTCCAAGCCTGGAGCAGACAGAAGATGTTGTGTGTTTTGTTTACTGCAGAATTGCAACCAAAGTTGACTTTAACGTGATACCATTCCCATTGCTGCAGATACAGAGCTTGAGGAAGAGGACTCTCGAGAACGAGTGTCCTCGCAATGGGTTTGCGTGGGAGTCTTGAGAGCAAGACGCGACAGTTCACCCGATTGTGTCCTGAGGAGAAAGTGAAAATTCCGGTGGGAAGAGAATGAAGCTACTCTAGTTTGACCTGTTTGTTAGTATCACGTGCACTGTATTGGTAATACCTTGAACGTCATTTATTCAAGCCAATTAGCCGATTGATCGTGGTATGTGATTTACCTACAGCGCAACATGTTTATCCCGCTTTCCGAAAAGGCGGACGATGGGTTTCTGCCACCTTCTACCTTTCCGTTCCGACTGACGCTATCAGTAGGTATTGGTTGTGCCGAGAAGTGGCATTGTTCACTACTACTTACTGCCGCTATTCCACTGCTCACTTACTTTTTACCTCATCCCCATCTTACATCCTCTTATTCTCCGACAAATTAATTGAATATATATCACTATCCTTCGCTTCTCTGGACGGTGGTTCTGTGAAGACCTTTGATTTAAGCCCCTCCCTCCCCTCGGTCCACTCGCCGAAACTACGTTCTAATGGCTGATGACACCGCTACGGCGGAGGACTCTCCCGTCACCTTCAATATCAAGTCCTCGAATGATGCAAAATTCACCATCACTCTTCCATTGTCTGCGCTAGTGTCAGAGTTGAAAGAAAAGCTTGCGACGTCGGAATATGCGGATACTCCAGCGGAGCGTCAGCGCTTAATCTACTCGGGAAGAGTGTTGAAAGATAATGAAACACTAGCTACATACAAGATCAAAGATGGACACACCATCCACCTAGTAAAGAGTGCTGCTAGCAATCAGCGTCAGGCCGGCACCTCTCAGACTGCCTCGGCCTCCACGCCGTCAGGCACCTCTGCTACTCCAGCCACTGGCGTCCCCACAAATCTTGCGGCCGGCACAGGCAACAACCCACTAGCCGGTTTGACCGGCGCACGATATGCTGGTTTTGCGCAACTTCCAGGAGCCGGAATGTTTGGCCCAGATGGTGGCGTAAGTGACCAACGAAGTAAAGTTTAACCCATTGAATGGTGCTAATCATGATGTTTAGATGGGACCCCCTCCTGATGCCGACTCTATGCTCCATATGCTCGAAAACCCACAATTCCAGTCTACTATCAATGAAGCTTTACAAAACCCAGCGATGATTGATATGATGATTCAACAAAACCCCATGTTGCGCGAAATGGGTCCCGGCGTGCGGCAAATGATGCAGAGCCCTGAATTCCGCCGTATGCTTACCGATCCCAATTCGCTTCGCCAGGCGATGCAACTTCAGAGAGCCATGGGTGGCGGCGGTGGGCTTGGTGGCGGTAGCGCATTTCCTGCTCCGGGGGTCACAAACACAACACCAGAGGAAAGCCAAACCGGCCAAAATAACAACGGCGCTACTCCTGCCTCTGGCGCACCCGCGTTCAACCCATTTATGCCTCCGGGCCTTGGAGCTGGTAACCCTTTCGCTGCCCTTTTCGGAGGTAATCCAGCAATGGGTGGCGCAAACCCGCCCAGTGCATCAACTGCGACGGGTACCGGTCAGACTGAGACTGCACAGAGAGCCGCTGGAGATGCTGCTGGGGGAGATGCTACCACCGGAGAGGGTCAAAATCAACAAAACGCTCAGAATCCTTTCGGGCTCCTTTTCAACCCCGCCATGCTCGGGGCACAAGGCGGTCAGGTTAACCCTTTCAATCCCCAACAAAATCCCTTCCTTCGCGATCCCGCTCTACTATCGCAGATGATGCAGGCAATGGGTGGTGCACCACCAGGAGAGGCTGGCGCAGGTGGACTTGGCGCCAATCCCTTGGCGGCGCTTCTCGGAGGCGGCGGATTTGGGACACCCCCTCCACAGGACAACCGGCCACCTGAAGAACGGTATGCGGAACAGCTTCGCCAGCTCAATGATATGGGTTTCTATGAGTTTGAGAGGAATATCGAAGCGCTGCGACGAGCAGGTGGCAGTGTACAAGGCGCAGTGGAATATCTGTTGAGCCATCCTTCTTGAGTTCTCCTACCGATCTGTAATGGCGTGTTGGCCAAATGGCCTTCTTTCGTGGAGCGATTGTTTTCATTGACGGCTTCTAATTTATGACTACCCTGGCTGCATACTCTTTCGGATATGATATAGGGGGATGCTTGGAAGGCTTTCGTGTAGGGAATGTCTCATGACTTAGCAGAAAGGGCGTTAGTATAGCAGAACTTCATGTTTTTTGATGTTATGATAGTATATTAACAGGTGTCTCGTATACTGGCATCTCTTTGTCGGGCGTCTTCCCGGTCACGGTTTAGGGTGACTTTCGGCGATAAATAGCTATGAAGAATGTAACTTGTTCCACGAAGGGCCCTGTCCTGTAGGTGAATCCCGGTGGTATGAGGGACAGTCGTCATGATGTGGAGTCAACACGACCTAAATTGTCGCATTCAGATGGGCGGCGGTGAGATTATCGTTTTGGGAATGTACGCTAAACCTATTTGGGGCAGAATCGGCCGGACTGTTCGATGCCAATGGATTGATGGGTCCCCGTTCTGAATCTCCCCTGCAATCGACGACTACTTTAACTACTACTAATTGCTGCTATCCTGTCCACATCCACCCCTGACACCTCCCCCTCCCTCGTCCTTAAATTATTATCTATCTGCTTCTATTCGATAGGCATTTTATGCCGATTACACTCGTTACATCAACTCGAACTGCTATATTTCGGACTTTCCATTCTCCGTCGCATTCTGGACCGCCGGTTCCTCCAGACAGCCATACATACGCCTCATATTGTTTTACAGTAGCCTTTGCCCTGCGCTTGTTCATCCTTTTTGACATATTACTTTCAATATCGCGCATAAAATTTACTATTTACGTCCTTTCTTTTCCCTCTCTTTAGGTGGCCTGTTTAATGGGGACGGTCTAGCGCAACTTAAGTTGGGGTTAACTAAGTTATTGATCTACGTTTGAGATTCACGCACCCGCCACGTACATCCGAATCGTCGGTGCATGCTTCCTTGATAGCTTGTGTTCTCTCAACAAGTGAGGGTTAGCCTCCATTTTCCCACCACCTCGATAATGGAGCTGCAACGCTTGTGGTGCCCTCGTCGGTGGGCTTTGTGGTTGTTATTCGCCTCATACTCTTGCGCATTCTACATACCTGGTACGCTTGGACCAGCCTGTTAGGCCCATCAGACCCTCCAACTGACACGTCTATGTTTGTGAAATAGGCTATTCAGTCAAACGTTATACCGATGACGAGTCTATTCCCCTTCTTGTGAACAAAATCTTTTCCGACCATACGCAGCTTCAGTACGCCTACTATGACCTGCCTTTCGTCTGCCCCCCGAGCGGGAAAACGCACGGCGGCTCGCCCTTCGGCTCGGGGCATAGCGTTTCGCTTAACTTGGGAGAAATTCTACGTGGTGACCGGATAATGACGTCTGACTTTGAACTGCAGATGGGAAAGAATGTGGAATGTCAAGCCCTCTGCACTGCGGAAGTAGGGCGCAAAGACGTCAAGTGGGCTCGTCAGCTTATCAACGAAGGCTATGTAGCAGAATGGATCGTGGACAACTTGCCTGGAGCGACTAGCTTTGTCACCGTCGACCGTAGTCGCAAGTACTACGCAACTGGGTTCAAGCTTGGATCTCGGGAATTCTCACCCATCGACGGAAAACCACACTACTATATCAATAACCATTTCACCATCGTGATCCGCTGGCGGTCGGCACCCGAAGGTGGCAAGTTAATTGTTGGCTTCGAGATTTATCCAAAGAGTATTCGCGCCGAGGATCATGTGGAGAACGGTTGCCCTAAACAAGTACATGAGCATCACGACGGTCTGGAACTATACATCCCTCCAAACACATCAAAACTCCGTGAGATGTATCCTGGTTCCTCATACATCCCAGAGGACGACGGGGTTGACGACGGAACTACACTCAAAGTTCCGTACACATACTCAATTTATTTCAAGGAGGACAACAGCATTGACTGGTCTAGTCGATGGGACCTCTATTTTAGCAACCAAGACGACAGCTCTATGACGCACTGGTTTGCGATCCTCAATTCTTTGACTATAGCTGGCGTTCTTGGAGTGGCTGTATATGTCATCTGGGGACGAACGGTGCAAGGAGATATCAAAGGTCGAGGGGACGGAGCAATGGATGAGGCTAAACTGAAGGCTCGAAGCGTAGCCAAAGTAAAGACTCTCGAAAGAAAAGGGGACGGCCTCTTGGACCAAGGATCGGATCTGGAACGGGATGCAGATTTGCCATCCGACGACGAGGGTCTCGAAGATGTTAGCGGTTGGAAACTCCTGCATGGGGACGTTTTCCGAGTGCCGGAGTACAGCGGCCTACTTGCACCGCTTGTTGGCTCTGGTATGCAACTATTGTTTATGACCTCGGGACTTCTTCTACTCAGTTGCCTTGGTATCTTAAACCCCAGCTTCCGTGGCGGATTTGTTAGTGTTGGCATGGGGTTGTTTGTATTTGCCGGCCTCTTCTCCGGCTACTTCTCGGCAAGGTTGTACAAAACATTTGGCGGCACTAAATGGAGGAAGAACACGGTAGTTGTAAGTCTATCTCGGCCGGATTTCTTCTTTCTCCTCTGAACCTTGTGACCTGGACATTACTAATGACAGTAGACCGCTCTCTTCATCCCTGGCCTGACCTTCTGCCTGATATTCATCCTGAATCTCTTTGTTTGGGCACAGGCGTCCAGCACCGCAATCCCGTTTGGCACATTGATCGGTCTTCTTGCGCTCTGGCTGCTGATTCAGGTTCCTTTGGTTTATATTGGTAGCTGGTACGGTTACGTACGAACAACGGCGTGGGAGCACCCAACCAAGACCATGTCAATCGCTCGACAAATTCCGCCACAACCCTGGTACTTGCACAACACTTACGGGCCCGTTTTGACAGGGCTGGCACCGTTTGCTGTTCTATTCATTGAGCTTCTATTCGTGTTCAAGAATTTGTGGCAGGACAAGAGTGGGTATTATTACGTGTTTGGCTTTTTGAGCGCCGTCTCGACTATCCTGATGGTCACGGTGAGTCAAGTGACCATCATCGCAACCTACAGTCAACTTTGCTCCGAGGTATGCTATATCCATTATCGGTAAAGGATCGCGAAGCTGACTGAAGCAGAATTACCACTGGTGGTGGCAGAGCTTCCTGACCGGCGCAAGCAGCGCATTCTGGATATTTGCCTATTGCATTTGGTACTACTTCTTCCACCTTCATATCACCGGCTTCATTTCTAGTCTGCTCTTTTTCAGCTACAGCTTTCTGGCATGTGCGGTATACGGTTTGTTGACGGGGACCGTTGGGTTCTTGACGGCCTACGCGTTTGTCCGACGTATTTACAGGTAAGCGGTTGCTGGTGGTGTGGTGGATATTAGATGTTGGAGCTAATCATGGCACAGCGGCGTCAAAGTTGATTGATCAATTTCGAGCGCATATCTGACATCAATGTCAACTTTTTGCCCAGGCGGGCTTATGTGAAACGGCACTTGGGACAAGCATTCTCTATTCATTTCCTTTGCCATATTTTGGCTCTACTTTCAAGATATCCACCTTCCCTCTCCATATGAAATAGGCTACCGTACTCTTAATGGCTCGTCATGTCATTTGGACTGTGACCTTTCTGTACTTTATATATATATACCGTCCATTAGCGAGCTCAATCGACAATTCTCAGTCTTAACGCACTGATCTCAATTTCGCTACCCACATAGTAGCTTGGTCAATTATCGTATTTCAATCACATCTCATGGATCAAGTTACCCAAACCAGCCGTAGTCTAAAGACTCAATAGCCCACCTAGTGGCTGATCCTCCACAAGATACCACTCTACAATAAAGAAAACACACCTTCGGGACCCCGGCAAGGAAACACCCAACCCATCATAGCGCAAAACCACCAGATCGACACGGGCTCGACTCTCTCTTCCCCAAAACGGCATTCCCATCCAGCCCGGGCCACCAAACCCCACGAGCTTAACAGGCAGAGACAACCCCATAAATCCTCCCCAGCCGCCCTCGTCACACACACAACAAAATACAAGTTCTCAATACAACCCCCCGCCCCGTTACACGACCGCGTCTACCTGGTAACACGAGATGGCTACAAGCGGAGGTTCCAATCAACGGGTCCGCGTGATGTTCAAAGAAAAAACGAAGATAGTCTGTGAAGGTTTCCAAATCTTTGGTCAGTACTTTCCCATGGATGAATGATTTCAGAACCTTTTCTGGGAAGGGACTGTGATTGGTCAGGTTGGGGGTCATGTGGTATCTATGTATTGAGTTCTTATGACTGGTGATTTTGGTGGAGCTTGCCATTGTGTGTATCTTACTACTAGTAGTACTTGGGGCTGATTATGGGGGTTTTTGTTCTGGGGCTCTTCTGGGCAGTGAAGTTTTGTGGGGGTTGTTGATGTAAGGAGGGAGTTTGTCTATTTGCTCCTGTCACGGGTGTATGAGGTGAGGTCCAGAATATGTTTCAAGGCGATCCACCTAGTTACATATCAGATGCAAATGAGACACAGGTACTAAGGACGAGAATATGACGGAGATGAAACGAGCTACCAAAACGATTGCGTCAGCTACGCCATTACCGTGACAGAAATCAAGTCCCGGGGAAGAAAGGCCCTGTGACTCGGCATGTCCGTCCATGCATTCGGATTAAATTACATAGACTTTGTTTCAAATGTATTACACCCGCTGGGCAGTGACCAATACCAATACTCTTTTCTTTTGACTGGATTTTGTCAAGTCTAAAGCCACCTAGGTGCATTAGGGCGTGCTTTGGTATGACCGAAAGTTTTACTAACTGTATACAAATGTATGTATGTATGTATTGTACCTACTATGTGGGGTATGAGGCATATACTCAGTACATAGTGGGCATGTTCCGTTAATCTACAGATCTCCGACCACCGTCTCACCGATACATTATCGCAGACCAGACTACGTGGTCAATTGTGTTGGATGGAACGGACTCCGTTTCAGCCCGGCTCCC